CAGTGCGATTCAACTGTTTTGTTTCTAAGGAATTTATAAGGTAGCTACAACAAGTGATACATTGAAGAACTCGTTTCTGTTGCTCACAATTCTTGAAGTATTGTTCCTGCTTAGCATTGTGGGGAACGAATTGTGAGGAGAATAAGACTAATTCATATCACATGTCATCAATATGTTTGTGTACTTGATACGGTGTGAAAAACGATCTATTTTATAAAAACCATTTTTATGTTTTGACGGCGAATTCAATTTCCTTTTTTTGCGGAATTGTCAAAGTGATCGCATCTTGAATTTTGTAGTATTTGACAGATTGGTAGGACCAGATATTTGAGGTTTACAGCATTTCTAGAGCTTGTTTCATTTCAAGCTTAAGCCAATGGAAGTGATTTGGTAGTTTTCCGAATCAGAACTCCCCCTAGAACTTATACTGAAAATTCAATTGTCAGCTGTTCTTGGAGGAGGATGCTTTTGTAACAGAGCCTCGCAAATTTCCATGTGACAGTTTGCATTTATCGTAGTAATGCACTGCTTGGATTCTTAAAATGATTCATAAATTTTTGACATTTGGTCTTTCGACCCTCTATCCAATATCCCAATAAATCTGTTTTTGCTGCAGTAAATGTGTTTATTTTTTAAGCAAATGGTACAATATCATGCTTAAGTGTAATCTGAAAGCCTGTAGTAACCCAGATCTAAACTGAGAAATCGCCAGTTATTCAAGGCCTACTATAGAAAGCGAAGCAGTAGTAGCGTAATGATCACTGCCAAGCACATATTTCTTACTTCCTCGTTCCGTAAATGAGTCGCCATGTTCGCCAAAGTAATGTTGCGCATCTGCATTTGTTTGTTCGCCCAACTTCCTCTGCTTTTTCCTTTTTCACAATTTCATTTTTAAAAACAGCAATTCTACGATTGTATAATAGGGATACGGTGAAAACTTGTGTCAATTAGTCATCCTTTACTTGCAGGAGATTGAAGATCAAGAAGAACTAGACAAGAAGCTGAAAAGACGTCAAAGGAATAAGGAGGCTGCTGCGCGATGCCGTCAACGACGTCTCGATTTGATGACAAATTTGCAAGAGGTAGTACTTACTATTTAGATATTTTTATATTAGGCATATGAGTTATTTTCTAGCAAGTGGATAAATTTAAAGCTGAAAATGAGAAGAAAGAGTTGGAAATTCGTGCAATGAAAACACAGGTTAGTTAAGAATTGTTTTCAAGAAGTATCTTTGTACTTTTCCAAACTAGGGAGTTTATTTCTCAATTTCTAGCTTCACCTTAGCTTGGTAGGTCTAGGAGTTTCCCTTTCACAAAATGAAGTAGTCCAAAGAGTATTTCTGACTCTTATATTTGCTGAATTACGATTTTACAAGTTTGAATGGAACAAATATTCATACCTTTCGTTGACATTTTTTTT